TTATTAATTTAGTTTTAATTAATGCTATTGGATGTTAAAACATGAGTACCTTTGTACATGTCACCAAATAGGGAGAGATTGCCGAAAATCGTGTTGAAAGAATAATGGTTCAAAGAAAGAAGATCTTGTGCCTCTGTAATTACAGTATCTTAGCTACATGTGGTAGGTATGGACCTAGAGTTAGGCGGCCTTATTCTTTACACTGTGTACATTTTTGGTTGATTGCTTTGCCCCATAAAAGTAAGCCAATAAATCCATGTTAGCCAGCCAAATTAGATTGTGGGTATAGATCCACATCAAATCAAGTGTATGCCAAGGCAAAATAAAACTAAAGTGCACTCAGAGATAATAAAAAAAAAGGCGTGCACTCAGCTCCTAAGTCCTGTTGTGGGCGGAACCCACTCAGCTTTCTTGACAGAGTTTTTGTAGTCCAAGATGTGAACTAGCAAAGCTCTTTAGAGGTAAAACAGGAAGTGTGGAGAGGGCACAGGATAGCTCTGAATTTCTGACAAGATCAACAGTTTTTCCAATTAAATAGATATAACAAAATGCTTCCAAGGGTATATTAAACAGACCAAGAGAGCAAAAAAAAGAAAAGCCCTTGTTAGGGTTTACATACACTTTAAAACTCTATCAGGATTTTAATGACTGCCCCTGTCCCCAATAGAGCGATTTTTACTTCCTGTCCTGGTGCCAAGAGGTCAGAGGGATAGGAAAAAATAGAAAAATGACTCCATCATTGACAAAGACAGCTACTAACCTATGTTTTAATAAGGAAGAGAAAGGTTAGGATTTTTTAAAATATATATTGGTGTCTATGTTATCCTATCTCAGAGACCCCCATTAAACTTGCTTCCTGTCTTTATGTCACAACAGAAAGTGAAGGCAAATCTCATCATATTCAAAATCTGACAAAGTTGTAACTATACACCACCCTATTCAAAACATTTAAATAAAAAAGAAAAAAACTGTTCTGGCTAAAGTGAGACTAAAGACAAGAAAAAAAAACACCACACACACAACTTGCAAGAAGAATAATAAAACACAATAAAATACATATTTACAACTCTTTTTTTTAATATAGAACACTTATCCATAATTCACTTTAAATATGAGCTGCTATAAAAACTAGAGAAGGTAAAAAGGGTTAAATGTAAAGTAATACAACTCCACATGAATGCTAAGAAAAGCACATCTATGTCCACATAAAAATGTTCAACTAGCTACTAAAATATAAATAAAAGGGACAAGCAAGTGAACCTCACAGTTCTTCAGCCTGTAGCACCAATCCGCTGGTAGGAATTGATGAACATTAGTGAGTTTCATCTAACCTACTGCTCTTTTTTTTCTTTCTGCAGATCATTGCAGAGGATAGTTTTAAAACAAATGATCAAATACGTCAAGCTCTGAGTTTACTGAACACAGCACTGGCTTGTGTGGAAGAGGTTGATATCTGCTGTAGATTAAATTACAAAACACATGAAACCGCACCCCATGTCTCTTCAACACAGTCCATTACATGGCAGAGCCTTTTTACCCAAGAGCAGATGACTTCTGCATGCAAAGCTCTATACAAAGAAGCAGAACATCCAGTTTTTTTTCCCTTCTACCCTTCCTCCAGCTAAGACCTTTCTTCTCGGATAAAAAAAAAAAAAAAAAAAAGAAGGACATTGCTCTGCTAAATAGTTTTCTACTGAGAGAAGACAACATTTTCTGTAAACTGGAAAGCTCACCTGCTTTAGAAGCAGCCATTTTAACACAGTGAATACAGGAATAAGAAAATAAGAATGTAACCTAAACATAACATGGCTCCTCACCATGCCAGCCTCCACTATCCAGAACATACTTCCCAAGCAAAAATTATCTAGCAATCAAGCATAATCCTGGAAATAAAAAAGGAACATTTGCCCATTTTGCTATAGCTCAAAAACAAGCATTGATGAGAAAAAATAGCTTGAACCTGCAGCATATTTTAGGTCGGGCTTTTTTGCACCCTTTATAAGAAGGTATACTAATGAACAATGAATGAAACCACTAGATCAAAGATAGATGGCAAAATGGTTGTTCTTAAAACAATAGGTCATATGAAAAATCACTCTCATGGGAGTGGTCTTCCTTCAGCAGAAGGACATCTGACTACTTTTGAGATTCCAAAGTCTATAACCCTCCTGCATCTAGAAAAACCTGGTAAGGCACATCCTCTAACACAAATGCTATAGCCTGCTTTCTCTTAACAAGGTTATCTTAAAAGCTTCATTGTGTAGCCCTAAAAGGGATACAAACTATAGAACCCATTTTAAAAACGTAGCATGGAATTAACATGTGCCATGAATGGGGGACACATTTCTAATTTTGTATGGACTTACACATGTTTCGAATGGATTTGTGCATTGTAAATGCAAAATGTATTGTGTTCACCTCAAAATCATGCTCATATCTGCTATGGCCTTGGTTCTTAACAGGTGGCTCGTGACCCAAAAGTGGGTCGCAACCCCGTGTTCAGTGGGTCGCTGTGTGCCTTCCACTTTTCTAAGTGAGAGGCTCTAAGCCTCCCCTGACGTGTTTTTTTTTGCTCATGTTAACAATAGAAAAGATGGGAATTTGGTTTTAATTAAAGGTGTTTTTCTGGGAGAAATGTTTAGGTTAAAAAGGAATTGTTCCTCCTTTGGAGGTGTTTGAGCTTGCCAAAGTTTTTCATCTTTTGTGTTATACGTGTTTGTGGATAAAAGGCATATTAGATACCAATGTTCTCTGTTGGGAATCTTTATCCTGTACATAAACACTATGGGGTTGATGTACTAAAGGTAAATATGATGTCCACTTTGCAACATAATTTTCACTTTGCATGGGACGTTTCTCCTTAGCTTAGTGAATGAGATGAAGAACTGCTGACTTCCATCATCCAAACATGTGCAAGTAAAAGTACTGTTTTTTTTTCTTTTCAGTTTACTTGCACGTGATTGGGTATTCTTTACAAATTGACATTTCACAACATTCATTAAGCGAAGGGGAAACTTCCCCTGCAAAGTGCAAATTTCTTTGCAAAGTGAACAGCCTATTTGCCTAATCAACGCCATAGTGTTTAGGTACAGGATAAAAAGGTTACCAACAGAGAACATTGGCATCTATTAAGACTGAAAGCTGATAACCTTTAAAGCCAAATCATATTTAACACTACAAAGATGTAAAGCAACAGGAAGAGTTTGATGCACTCCCTTGGCATACAAAAGTGTACATTCAAAGACTAGTGTTAAATGTATAACAAAGTGTCATAGATAAGACACATTAAACCTATGATTTTGTACTTCTATTATCAACCTAAACTTCAACAATTTAATTTTTAAAAAATGTATTGCGTATTCAACCCTCTGGAATGTTTTTGCAGTGTTACACCTGCAATTAAACTGGATTTAATTAGAAGTTAATGTATTTAATTTATACAAGATAGCCCATAATGTCAAATTGGAAAACAATTTACATTGCTTTCCAAAATATTTACAAATAGCAAAAAAACAGAAAAGCATTGGAAGTATTTGCTGCAAGATACCTAAATAACCTCTGGTTTGACTGGCTGCCTTTAACCAGTTGACATCCGCGGTGTTAAACCCCCTTCCCATCCAGGCCATTTTTCAGTATTCAGCGCTGCGGAACGTTAAACATACTTAGTTAGAAAGAGTACTGAGACGTGTCACAGGATCTCAAAATTAATACACCTAGAGGTCCCATAGTTTGTTAGAAAACAGATTTAAACAAACAGCATAGGAGCTTTTATGTCTGCAACAAAGCTCTAGGGAATTGACAATAAGCACTTGGGTTATAAAAAGAAAGAAAGCAAAAACATTTTGAGCATACCCTGGCGCAGTTAGATCTGCCACTGTACAAAGGAAAGAATTTGCACAACCTGGGAGTTTGTAACCTCAGTGCCTGGTTAAATAGGGCATTAGTTAGAAAACAATCAAAATGCTATGGGAATGCTTTTTATTGTTAGGGGCTTGAAAACGTGTAAGGACAAGGTAGGTGGTGCTAAATACAAGGAAGTTCTAGAGGTCAACCCGTTTTAATCTGCAAGAACCTGAGAATGGGAAGGAGGTTCTAGCTTCACCTAAGTAGTTTAAATCCAAGTACCTGAATC